GTCAGCATAAGGTATAACCTCGAATTCTTTCTTTGCATCATTTATCAACCTCAGAGGGAAGAAAGACGCGTGACCTTCGCCGGGACTCAAACCTGGACTTTTCGGTTTTGTGCACAACGCTTACTGACCATCAAATCCCGATGTACGAACATTTGATTCAGAATTCCAAACTGTACGTACCATCGAATGACTTCATCATGCTTTGTCGCGAAAACCTCTGAACGCTCTCCTGAGAGTCTGGCACATTTTTCACAACCTGGTTGTTATTCCGCTCGATACGGTCATTGATGGCAGCTGCACTGGCGCGTGAGTGGAAATTTCCCTTCGAGGTATGGGCTGTCGGTGAGGCACACTCTGAAACAGGGCCTTCATATGGAAAAGTTAATACGTGTGATCTGGACGACAAACCTGACGAAACATCACATTCATTTGACATGTCGAAATTATGTTCATTCAACTCCTTGCCGTCGCCAGTACTAAAAGATTACACGATTAGAACAGTGGACGATACTCCTTGCAGTGAAAAATGCGTACTCGTCGAAACCTTTGCTGAGCATCGACGGATCGTAGTTCGGCCAGCCTTTATTCATCATCGCGGACTGGTTCGCGGACAACATTTGCGACATGAACATGTGTTGAGGAGCGAAAGAAAACAATGACAATAAACCTGGGTTGATCTGAGCTGGTCCAAGAAAAGGGGCGAGTGGGTTGAATTGCGAATTTCCATATATGCCACCATGAGATTTTTCTGAACGAAAGAAGTACATTGCAAACACAGGAATATAAACAAAAATTAATTAGTTACAAACAAGTAGTTGCGGGACTAAACTATGGCCGGTTTACTTACTGGCTCTGTAGCAGTCGGAAAAGAAACTGTCATCAGGATCAAACGCAAATGGTTTAAATTTTTCAATGAATAATTTCTTTGAGTCCTCAAGAACAGATCTCACGGCGTACTACGCCATCCTTCTTCTTACTTGCTTGGATGGAGAAGGGGGATATTTAGGCAAGCCACGGTTACATGGTATTTGAGCACCTGCAGTGCCAGATACATCGCGCATAATTTTGTTCGCTAGAGATACTATTCCTGTGCGAGTAGGGGTCCACCAAGGATCACCAATGAGCCTGTTTCTGTCCTCCATTGCGACAGGCGCGATAACTGAGGATTTGCAT